CAGAACAAAATGCACTTCCCGATCCATGAGAGATGGTTGTGTGAACATTTGCACTGAAGCTCTACTCACATCCCAAGATTATCGCATCAAAACACGTTCAAAGTAATTGGCTAAGGATCAAAAATCTGGTGGGTTTAAGGAAAGCCAAAGAGGTGGAGGACGGGAAAGATGGGGAATATAAAATGGAATTGATGGCATAAAAATTGAAAGCTAAAGCACATATCGGAGACAATCAATAGAAAAATTGTAGGGAAAACTAAATCTGAGAGCTACCGACCTAGGCCTTAGCAGGGACCGACGGTAGAATAGATGAAATTGAATGACGGCTCAGCATACAAGCTAGAAAATCTCTCACAATGAGAGAGAAAAACTCTCATAGTGGGAGAGAGACTCTCACAATGGAAGGGAAAGATGTACTTTACCCGTTGTTAACTAATGCACATATGCTCTTCTCCAACCTCTCTCATATTTCGATTATAAGTGAGAGATCTTAGATTTGATTTTCGTCGAATACAAATTCTAACCAAATTATTGTGGCTGACTCATACTAAGAGAGAGATAGAGAGATCCTAGAGAATTTCTATTTTAGTGCATGAGGGAACATGGTTGGTTAGAGTTGATTTTTCTAACTTATCCCCAAGTATTTATACGCAATAAAGTTTGAAATCCCCATCATGTTTCCTCTCTACAAATAAAAAAAGATAAAAGTCTACGCAATCAGATATGCTCAATAGTTAGGATTTGAACTTCCACCTTTTGATTTCAGTATTTATAAAAGCTGAAAACTTTAACTATATTTTTCTGTGGATCCAACAATACTCTCTATATAAACAATTCGTGATTTGCTTAATTATATTTTTGAACTCAAAACATAAAAAAAATAACTAATTTGGTTCAAACTGGGCCTATTAAATGAGCTTCTAGGTAATATTGAGGGAGATTATGTTAAAAATACGTAGAATTGAGAAATTTATATATATTAACAAAAATGTTTAAAAAGGACGTGAGTTAGATATAAAAAGTACATATATATGTTGTGGGACCCTGATTTTTGTACCACCGTATCAAGGCAAATGAAGCAGTGAAGACTGGATCTCCAATTAAAGTATTGAGGATCCAGGGAAGTGGATTGATTCGAATCAAAACTCCGACCTCAGGGTCTAAAATGTTAGATCAGCATGGTCATAATGACCTGCAGATATGATCTGGACCGGATCGTATAAAGGTACTATCAAAATAAGTCAATCTAATAGACAGTAGAACCGTAGACATGGGCCGCCATTGTAGAGACCTACTAGGCCCTCAAGGAACGTAACTCCTAATCCTACTTTGATTAGGAGAAAATCTTGGGAATTCCTATTATTATGGGAATTAGCGTGTGTTTCAAGTAATCATTAGCTTAATCGAAAAGGAAATATCTTTTTAGGTTTCCCAATTAGGATTCTCCCGACTTTAATACATATTTCTATTCTCACAAGGACTTTAATTGAATACTATAAATACGCCCCTTAGGGTTTGAGGTAAATGTATGACATTCTACACTATATTCTACTACTTGTTCTGCTACTTGACACTGTAAATGTTGTCATAACTTGATCGTCAAAGTGTCCTTGGTCGGTACCTCCCTGGTGCCTAAGGTCTTTTATGATCTCTTCTTCTTGTCTTATAGGTGGCCGATGATTGTTCATATGCTAAGGGTCCAGAGGGCCAGAGGGCCGAAAATAGCCCGAAAACCGTCTCCAACCGAGGGTTAGGCCAAATGGCTGTGGAATCTGAGAGGGCCCCACGAAATTGGTGCAGCCAGCTAGCCAGCCCGGGGCTGACCAGAAAATATAGCATTTTTGTCGGTTATAACCGACATGAATATATTTATATTAAAAATTAAATGTATTCCTCTCGGTTATAGCTGACATTAAATTTGAATTCTAATTTTTTTTTCTTATAAATACCTAAACCATTCATTAAATTTAAATTCTAATTTTTTTTGGTTTTTTGGGCTAGTTATCGTTGTAGTTTTTAAATTTATGTTGTTGGATTTGAATTTAAGTTGTTGTAGTTTTTAAATTTAAATAATAAATTATGTTTGGCCCTATGGTCCTTTGGTCCTCGGTTGGAGACGGAGACAAATATGACTCTGTACTGTTTATTAAAATATTAATATGACCCTCTGGCTAGCCATCGGTTGGAGATGGCCTAAATGCTGGCGTGCGAATTTGATTTCAATATATGTGAATGGTATATGTACTGTATTTTGAAGTTTTAAAAATGTATGATTTAGCTAATCATTAAGACATGCAGAAAATGAGAAAATATTTTAAAAAAACTACGTAAGTATATATATAATAATTATGCATAATATATATTCTACACGAAATTATTGACTATGATAGTAATTATACAATAGAGTATCTGCATGCCTGGTTGCTGCCGACCCATGTGTAGCGGTACAAGGCTTACTTAAAAAAAAAAAAAAAAAAAAAATAGAGCAAGCACGTACATAACAAAAACATGAGCAAGAAATTAGAATTATATACATACGATTTCAATTTAAATAACAAGTTTTATGGTTAGACAACCTTAGTTTTGCGTTACATATTAATCTATTTGTGGGCTTATTAAAATATATAATTTCGAATCTTTGATGTCATCGGTCAGCTAATATTCTCTTAGCACAATATAACATAAATCATCGTTGTGGGTTTTGAATACAACGATCAATTCAATCGATCCCACGCAGTTTGTAAGTAACTAAATCTACATCATTTTCATTGGAGACTAATTTACCTTATGCCAATATACTATTGTAGCTCCATAGGTTGAACACTGAAATGTGCAACCGTGCAACCTTCAAGCGTCTGACCTTTCGGTCATAAAATGAAACAGTGACTACGACATGGAGTAAAAAAAAATTCAAGTAACTTGTACCGACTCCATAATATGTTTTCCGATTGCATACTTGCATATCTCATTCCTGAATCATACCTCAACCATTTTGAGCCCTTTGTCTAATAAATCTTTTATTTTAACCATATTCCAGTAGACCCCCTTGTACTTTTACCACTTGCAAAAATAGGGATAAAAACACTTAAAATACTTACAAGAGTACAAGGTTATTGTAGTATAGCAACTCAAGCAAGGTCTTTTTCCACAAAGATTGAATGAATAATTTATGTAAATACTGAATCTCAATTAATTATTTGAAAATAAAGATTGGAAAAGGTTGATTTTGAATTTAAAAATAATAAAAACGAATTTAATTAAAAACAATTAAAGAAATTAACTAGAGAACAATTTAAAGAAAATCAATTGTAAAAGTCTAGGGGTTCCGCCGTCCCCTTAACAATCCTATGCAATTTTACCAATTACTTATGAATTTCTACATACATGCTTTGAAGATTAGGTTTTCCTAATACATATTTTCCTCGTGATGTTTAAGCGAAAACGTATATCTAACATGCAATCCGTCTGTGATGTTCAGATCAAATATAAACATGTAAGACTCATTAAGCTTTGTAAAAATCCTTTGAAAAACCACGCAACCCTTAAGAGCGTGATGTTCGCCTTAAGTGAACTTACAATTACAAATCACAAGAAGTCCTCCTCAATTTCAGGGTGATGTTCCAACAGAAATTACATCAAATTACTTGTCTAAAAACCCTAATGGTCGCGAATCATTAAGACAATTAGATAGTTTAATCGTGGTGATTAATAATTCAAAGCAAGCATGCATCCATTCATAAGCAAATTAATAAAATCACATATTCATGCTAAGGCTCAAGGCTTCGCCCTAGCAAAAGTACTAGTTACAAACAATCATAGTAAAATATTAGTAAGAACAAGAATAGAAAACACGTGAAAAATAAACTTGAATTGTCAAAGGCTTATGCGTGCATTTCCACCTCTCATTCCTTTCTAACCGTAATGGCTAAAAAGTCTTATTTATACTACTACAAAATAAAACCCTAAAAAGTCTTAGAATAAAACTAGTAAACATAATAAAATAATAAAACAGAAAATAGAAGGTTTCCCATTTAAATTGAAATTCAGACTTCTCAGAAAATCAGACTTTTGACCGACCAAATCAACTCCGATTTGGTCCAAAAATGTCTCTTTTGAAAGCTGGAGACGTCCCTATAAATCCTCAGAAGGAATATTTCTCAAAATATGCCATCTTGACCTCCAAAATACCCAAAACATCCAGAAACGTCAATCTGGGAAAGTTACGCGCACTAGTACAAAAAATACTTTAGGTGACGTAGGTCCTTCGTCGCGCAAAGTCAAAAAAACGTCGCGCAAAAATTTGCGTGACGAACCTTCGTCGCGCGACAGGCGTCGCGCCACGCCTGTGAAAGAAGGTTTTGCGCGACGAAGAAGTTACATGCGTGACGCAAAGTGTCTTTGCGTGACGTAGTAACATGCGTCACGCAAAGTGGGTTGGCGTGACGTAGGTGTGCGTCACGCAAAGTGTCTTTGCGTGACGTAGTAACATGCGTCACGCAAAGTGGGTTGGCGTGACGTAGGTGTGCGTCACGCAAAGTGTGTTGGCGTGACGTAACATGCGTCACGCAAAGTGGGTTGGCGTGACGTAGGTGTACGTCACGCAAAGTTGGTTGGCGTGACGTAGGTGTGCGTCACGCAAAGTGGGTTGGCGTGACGTATGATGCGTCACGCAAAGTGGGTTGGCGTGACGTAGGATGCGTCACGCAAAGTCGGTTGGCGTGACGTAGGATGAGTCACGCAAAGTCGGTTGGCGTCACTCAAAGACACTTTGCGTGACACATACCTACGTCACGCAAACCCACTTTGCGTGACCTATGGAACTTCTTCGTCGTGCAAACTTTTTATGTTTTTATTTTTTTTTAATTTTTTGACAAAAATATTTTTGATTTATTAATATTTTTTATTTAATTTTTAATAAATATTGTAATTATTCTAAACAATAAACAATAAACCAAGAAAAAATTTAATTATAAACCATATATATGAAAATGTGCATACAAGATGTCTAAACAAAAAAAGATAAAACTACAACAAGTAGTCTTCTAGGTTTGAAAACTACTGGGTATTGGGTAGGTGAGGTGGCTGGGAGGTCGAAGGTGGAGTAAGATCAGGTGCTGGTAGCTGGATTTGGAGACCGGACACCGCTAAGGCATGTACAATCATACTCATCTGGGCCTTCATCTGTTCGTTCTCAGCTCTCATCTGCTCGTTCTCCGCCTTTATATGCTCGCTCTGGGCCCTCATCTGCTCACTTTGGGCCTTTATCTGCTCGTCCTGGGCTGCAAGCTGACCTTTAAGGGTTGTCACTTCCTCCTTCAGGGCGTTGACCTCTCCTGTGGTCGATTTGGAAGAAGAGGCACCCGTCTCACAAACCCGCGCCTTCCCCATACCCCGAACAACCTTGCCATGACGACGACCGTACTTTTGATCCAGGACCTCAGTCATGATCTGAAAACCTACATCCTCGGGTAAAGTGACGTCCTCCATCGGGGTTTCCAAGGGAAGTTGCGATGTTGCTTCTTGGAGAACAACATCGCCCTTTTCCACCATAGTAGCCTGTAATAATAAAGAAAAAACGTATAATGGTTAATAACAAAATATAAATAATATTTGAACGATTCATAAATATAAGAATAATAACAATTACATCTAGTTACATGAAGCTACTCAGCGATCTCATTGCCAGGTCGAACGTAAACGTCCTTGAACACGTCGATAATAATCCAATATCAAAAGCTTATAGTTTTATATATGTCAGTAATAATCCACAATATCTCAATTTTTTTCCAAGCAAAAATAAATATCTCAACAAATAAGTGTAGTTTGTTATGAAAAAATTATTTCCAGTTCCATATCAAAATCTATTTACATCCCTATGTTCTATAAAGAACAATTGATATGAAAAAATTATCTTATTTACATCCATGTAGTATAATACGCAGTAAAAAATTATCTTATTCATCGCCAAATATTTGATTTTTCGCTGTGGTTTGTTATTTTACCGAATTTGGTTGTTGATATTTCGTATTTTTTATCGTTCATTTGTGTTCTATTGGGGTTGTATTTTGCTAGAATTTCATAGAATTTGATTTGGCTGCGTAACTGATTGGCTTAAAATTTTGTGAGATTAAATATTTCTTGAATTTGATCATTAGATTTCCCTTTTTTTTTTTTCGCTTTTTTTTTTTTTTTTTTTTTTTTTGCAAATATCTTGTTTTCTAGGTCCCAACTTTTGACATTGTTGTTCAGTAGTTTACTCTTCTTTGCAGCAAAGAAATGTTTTTCTTGTACCATGCATAGGATTTTTAGAAATGGATCAAAACTAACATGAGATATAGAACTTCTGTGTTTCACTTACTTATTGATTGGGTTACAATCTCAGCATGAGAAACTCACTCCATGATCTGAAAAACATGGAAGAATTATATAGCTACAATAGACAAACTAACCTACGATTTTAGAAATACAAAGTAGGATAAATTTGCTACATGGAGATCCCACAACAGAACCAACTTACAAATATTCTAAACTCCATCCAAAATTCAAACCGTCTGCAATTCTATACAAAAATATAAACTTGTATGACAATTACTACAATTTGAAGTAAAATTTAACCTATGCAATAGTTGAATTTAATAACTCAACAATATTAATATTCTCAAGAGAACAAAAAAAAGCACAAAAAAATAAAACCCCATATAAAAAAATCCAAGACTTTGTACAGAACATAGGCTTACCTTTCTTCAAGAACTGCAATTGAAATTGCAGCAGTTGCGTTTGTTGGGTGGTGGGAGTCATTTCGCTGTGCAAGAGTTGCTGAAAGTTTACCAAAATTTTAGTACGATAAAGAACAAAAATAGTAATCACAAAACTCAAATTTAAAGCATAGTTTTGTAGCTCCTAAATTTTTTCTAAAGAATGCAAACACTATTGCCTATCTCAGATGGCTATAACTCATGAATCCAAATCTCATTGAATCAAGCCTATTCTCCTAAACCAAAGATGAAATTGTTTCATGATTTGCAACTAATATGATTTACAACTAAAAAATAAAATTAATCAACTCGAAATCAAATATAAATCCAATTCAATTTAAACCTACCAAGCATAACAGAACAAATCATAGATAAACAATCAATCAAACAGAACTGAATGAGATTTAGCTCCTTCAAAAATTTCACATTAAACCCAATTATAAAGCACAAAATTTTACCCAAAAATGAAAACAGAGATAAAACAAAGCAAAAATCGAACAAAAAGGGATGGGTACCTCTGTTTTTGACTCGAGATCTCTGCGCGCTTTGAATTTCTGCACACAAAATATATTACTTTATGTAACACTAGATAAAATTTGGAAGGTCCTTATATAATAAGATTCATGTTTGCTTATGATTTTTTTTTTTAAATTCCTTTAGCAAGAGGATTAGTAATGGTAAAGCTAAAGTTTGGGGATTCATGTGTGGTTTGGCTTTTGATGTTCAAATTACGGAGAATGAATTTGTCGATGTAAGTTGGCAAATATTTGATCGAGTAAAAACTATGTTTAGCCACAAAATACTATCATGTAGTCAGATGGAAGCATTAAGGATTAATTTTCATTAATAGTATTCGATCTATTTGCAGACATTTTGTACGATAATCCTTTTTGGGTGGTTAGTCAGATCAATTAGGGATATATTTAACTAAAATGGTAACACATTTTAACTAAAATGATAATACAATTCAATATCCTTCTCTTTGAATTGGAGATTAAGTAGAAAATATTACCCACAAATCATCCACATATTCATAATTATGCATGAAAAGTAGAAATTCGAAAAGCAAAAACTAAATCACTTACATGGCAGGTCTTCAGCAAGAATAGCATTGCTGCAACCAAAATTGATACCAATAAGCCGTACGAATCTTATTGATTATGAGTACCAATTCTCTAGATTGAGCACTGCGGGGTAAGATCTGCACTTGTGGGTAAAATCAAATTAGGTTCTATTTATCACAGGTGCACCAGAAAATTATAAAAAATTTCATACCTTTAAGTTTCAACATTTTTACTCTGGAATCCAAGAAAAACCCATATCAGATTCTAAGTGGGTTTATCACAAATAATAATTTAATCAGAAATTAACACTGAAAATAAATCAAAAACACAAAAAAAAATTGGAATTTTCGTACCTCTAAGTTTCTGGGTTTTTACTGTGAATCATATTGAGAACTAAGGGCGCAAATTGCTGGAGGAGAAGACGAAGAGGGAGGAAGCACGGGTCGGTGGCGGAGTAGCAGAGTAGCAGCAGAGCAGATGAACCGAGAGGAAGAGGATAAGAGGAAGAGGAGGGCTCCAGAGTTTAATAGCCAAGTTGTAGGTGGCGGAGTAGCAGCAGAGCAGATGAACCGAGAGGAAGAGGATAAGAGGAAGAGGAAGAGGATAAGGGGGCGTTTGTTGGGCCGGACTATCTCGGACTGGATTAGCTTCAAGGACTAAGCTGGACTGGCTTAGACTAGACTAAACTGGACTAACTTAGTGAAGCGTTTGGTGCAATATTGGACTAAAAAGCTAGATAATAACAAATTATAATATTATATTATTTAATATATAAATTATTAATATTTTATTATGATCTTATCTTTTTCTTCATTTTTTCCTACCATTTCCTCGTTAAATTGGATGAAGTTAGCACCGCCAAAATATTCATCACCATCCCTGGACCGAGATCTTAGCTTTGAATGCTCGAATCTGTCATGGATTTGAAGAAGCCCAAACAGGCCGAGACTTCCAGGCCATTTTCTAGCCACATTCGACCACATTTTGGCCTCGATTCAGGTAAAATCGTAATCTTGTCACTCCCAGCTTCAATTTGGTATATTTTGTATGAAAGTTGGTTGTGAAATGGATCTGAAAGAGAGTCGAAAAGTTAATGATTGATCTAGGTGACCGGAGATGATGAGGACTCTGTCGAGAGTGGTCGTTGAGCATGATGAGGACGAGAAAGAGAGGATAGTCTTAGCTAGTCCCATGATTATTGGGGGGTCTCGCTAAGACCTCTTAGTGAAGGGTTTTGTCCATGCTAGTCCCCTTTAGTCTCATTAACGTTAGTCCCAGCATGGAACAAACACAGTATTGGACTAAAAGCTAGTCCAGTCCAGTCCAGTCCAACTTAGTGAGGGCAAACAAACGCCCCCTAAGAGGTCTGAAAAGAGGTCTACGGAAAGAAAAACCGAGAGGAAAAGAGGATAGGATATATGGTTGCAAAACTTGGAAAATTTGAAAAAAAAGGCCTAATTTTCGTTGCGGACCGTCAAAATTATCAATTTGCGTGACGTAGGTATACAATTTGACGTCACGCAAAGTGGTTTTGCGCGACGATTAAAGCGTCGCGCAAGGTTTTTTTTTTTTTTTTTTTAAGTATTAAAAAAATTACCAAAAATGTGATTTTACTCCTTTCAAGTTCAATTTTTATTTCACATAAACACCACAATAATATATTATTCTAAAAAAAACCCATAATAATTTTTTTATATATATATCATTCAATTTCTTAAGTGTTATAAGTACAAATTAAATAAATTAAAATCTACTTAGTAAATACATATACCATAGCACTTGATGGGAAACACATTGTACGAAACAAGTTTCAACGATCCAACCGTCAAACTTGTTTGTATATGCTTCGAGATCGCATACGCCAAAAATAGGAAAAAAAAACATTTAGAGATCAAGTAACGCGACAAAACTTTTCGACGGTTATAAATGAAAAATAACGATTTAACAGTAGTTTTAACTCCGATTTTGATGATTTTTTATAGCTACACTCCTTGACCCTATATGAATACAATGAACTAATTTGATCGTCAATTTAAAGTATTTACACAAGTGGATACCACAAAATCTTATGTTATAGTTAATGAAAGTATTAATAAACTCTAAGTGTTAGTAAATCTACCATTTTGATGGGAAACACATTGTACGAAACTAGTTTCAACGATCCAACCGTCAAACTTGTTTGTATATGCTTCGAGATCGCATACGCCAAAAATAGGAAAAAAAAAACATTTAGCGATCAAGTAACGCGACAAAACTTTTCGACGGTTATAAATGAAAAATAACGATTTAACGGTAGTTTTAACTCCGATTTTGATGATTTTTTACAGCTGCACTCCTTGACCCTATATGAATACAATGAACTAATTCGATCGTCAATTTAAAGTATTTACACAAGTGGATACCACAAAATCTTATGTTATAGTTAATGAAAGTATTAATAAACTCTAAGTGTTAGTAAATCTACCATTTTGATGGGAAACACATTGTACGAAACTAGTTTCAACGATCCAACCGTCAAACTTGTTTGTATATGCTTCGAGATCGCATACGCCAAAAATAGGAGAAAAAAAACATTTAGCGATCAAGTAACGCGACAAAACTTTTCGACGGTTATAAATGAAAAATAACGATTTAACGGTAGTTTTAACTCCGATTTTGATGATTTTTTACAGCTGCACTCCTTGACCCTATATGAATACAATGAACTAATTCGATCGTCAATTTAAAGTATTTACACAAGTGGATACCACAAAATCTTATGTTATAGTTAATGAAAGTATTAATAAACTCTAAGTGTTAGTAAATCTACCATTTTGATGGGAAACACATTGTACGAAACTAGTTTCAACGATCCAACCGTCAAACTTGTTTGTATATGCTTCGAGATCGCATACGCCAAAAATAGGAAAAAAAAACATTTAGCGATCAAGTAACGCGACAAAACTTTTCGACGGTTATAAATGAAAAATATTGATTTAACGGTAGTTTTAACTCCGATTTTGATGATTTTTTACAGCTACACTCCTTGACCCTATATGAATACAATGAACTAATTCGATCGTCAATTTAAAGTATTTACACAAGTGGATACCACAAAATCTTATGTTATAGTTAATGAAAGTATTAATAAACTCTAAGTGTTAGTAAATCTACCATTTTGATGGGAAACACATTATACGAAACTAGTTTCAACGATCCAACCGTCAAACTTGTTTGTATATGCTTCGAGATCGCATACGCCAAAAATAGGAAAAAAAAACATTTAGAGATCAAGTAACGCGACAAAACTTTTCGACGGTTATAAATGAAAAATAACGATTTAACGGTAGTTTTAACTCCGATTTTGATGAATTTTTACAGCTACACTCCTTGACCCTATATGAATACAATGAACTAATTTGATCGTCAATTTAAAGTATTTATACTCGGGGAAAGTATTAAGAACACCTTGCGTGACGCACATGACGTCACTCAAATACAATTTGCGTGACACACGTCTCTCGACGTCGCGCAAAGATACTTTGCGTGACGCATCCCAGAGGTCGCGCAAAGACACTTGGCGTGACCTATGGAACTTCTTCGTCGCGCAAACACTTTTTTTTTTTTTTTGACAAAAATATTTTTGGTTTATGTTTTAATACATATTGTAAGTAAATTCTAAAAAATAAATAATAAACCAAGAAAAAGTATTTAATTATAAAGTATATGAATGTACATGCAAAATGTCTGAAAAAAAAAAAGAAAAAACTCAAACAGCCTTTGCATGACGCATTGGCTCACTCTGGCGTTGCGCAAAGTTATATTTAAAAAAACTCCTCGAACCAAAACTCAAAAGAAAACGATAGCCAAGTTGAATTGGTCAACAACAAAGCACTCCTACTTCAACTACTTGGTGACTAAATATGAAAAATGGAAAGTAATTGAATCCTGAAATCCATAAAATCTCCAAAATCCACTAAAAAATTAACGAAAAAAAAACCAAGAATATAATGTCTAATTGAAACACAATTTGTTCAAAGTTCAACCACTTCATATCATATATTAATAAACATGATTAAGGAAATTGTAAGGGAGAGAGGGATGGGTCGAAAGTGGGCATTTACCCTCAATTCAACCGTATAGCACAAATTAAGGAAATTTCAAGGGGAAACCAACATTTCTTACAATTTCTTCTATGTAAATATATAAGTTAACCTCGATAAAGTATTCAAATGAAGCCCAAACAAGTCTTCAACAATATATCTACAATCTCACTCCTTTTAATAGGTAAAATTAATAAAGATTACATCAAAATTCAATCTCACAAAACTCCACCATTACCAAAAAAGGGCATAGCAAGTAACCAAAGGTACATATACAAAAATCCCATATGCAATATGAAAAAAATACCTTCAAATTCGTTCTTCAATGATAATTGTATACAAAAATCCTGTACAAAATCAAATTAGTAGTTTTAGTTTGAATTCTCAATTCAAAGTTGCATATACAAAATCAAATTGCTTACCGGATACAAATAGATTAAGGAATGGAGAGAATTGGAGAACGTTTAGAACAAAGATGGGGGAGGGAGGTAGCTGCTGCAACTAGTTTGCAGTTTCTACCACCCAAACTGATTAAGTAAAGGAAAGAAAAGTCGTTGACTTTGCGTGACGTATGTGGCGTCGCGCAAAACAGCTTTGCGTGACGCCACATACGTCACGCAAAGATGTTTTGCGCGACGTAAGTTCACGTGCGTCGCGCAAAGCTGTTTTGCGCGACTCACGCGGCCCTGCGTCACGCAAAGTCAACAGAAAAAGCAGTAAAACTTACTTTCTTTAGCGCCAAAATCTTGCGGGACGCACAAAACGTCGCGCAAAGGCCATTTGCGCGACGTTTTGTGTTTAACGTCACACAAACATACTTTGCGCGACGCAGGTAGTTGCGTCGCGCAAGTTTTCGTCGCGCAAACATGTTTTTGTGTTTAACGTCACGCAAACATACTTTGCGCGACGCAGTTAGCTGTGTCGCGCAAGTTTTCGTCGCGCAAACATGTTTTTGTACTAGTGGCGCTAGGCTTTTATTTCATCGCCACAGTCAAATGGTTTGGTAGAAAAATCTGAAACTTTGAAATAATCATCTTAAAAGAATCACGAACATCCTCCAATTGGAAACAATCTAAAATTCATCCGTTTGATCACTTTTTAATCCAGAGAAGTCGAATGTCCTATATTGAAAATATATAACAAAGTATCAAAATTCTACCAAAATAACCAATAAACTATAACTAAGAATAGGGTAAAATATATTGTATAATATGGACTCATCACCCCTTGTATTTTTATTTTAACAATGCACATGTCTAATACAAAATTTCCAGAGTGAGTAAGCGATTATCTCGAAGAAGGATGAAGTTTCTGTTTGAGGGTCATTATCAAAATCAAATTCAGAGAACTCTGCAGAGAGATTGAAAACTGAAGAAACACACACAGCAAAAAGAGGCAGGAAATGTAAAGGGTGGTAACCATAATTTCATTGCAACGGAACTAATTTAACAAGCCATTCAAGAGACGAACGCATATTAACTAACAAAACGATTTCATAACAAACAAACAAACAAAATATACGA